CCACAGCTCTGGTACTCTACCCCATTCAGTAAGGTCTGCTCTTTTCTCCAGGTGTGTGCAGTCTGATGCTGTCCTCTTTCCTGTTACTCTCTCAGGATTAGTTGCACCAATTAAATTTTCTAATTGTATCCAGTTTTAGGAGGAAGCCTCTGTCTCTCCTCTCATGCCGCCATCTTTAACCCCCCGGATAATCATCTTTTTGAAATGCACATATTTGAGGGGGAAATTGGACTTTATTAATGTTTTATAATTGGATATCATAAGAGACACATTCTAACTAAAATTATGAAAAATCACTCTATAAAAAGGATAATGTAATTAACTGAACATTCTGATAAGAAATGTAATGTTTCAGGATTACTATCATCCCATATAGTTTGACATGTAATACTCAACACAATAGAAGAAATACACTAAAGAGTCATTAATTCAACTAATTATGAAAGAAAATCAGTTTTCTGTTTTAACTAACATAAAAGTGGTATTAACTTTAACCTCCTCAAAGATAGTCACCACCATAAGCTTCATATTTTCTCTTTCAAATAAGAATAATCTTCACAAAATATTTATCACAGTGTTCGCTTTCAGTGTTATCATTTTTTTCAACAATAGAAGTGTAGAGCTCTGAAGAATTTTCCATTTTTATGAAGTATATATAGTTAATATATAATATTACATTGATTTAAAATATACAACATAGTGATCTACATTATTAATGCTCACCCCAATTAGTGCAGTTACTATCTATCAACATAGAAAGATGTTACAGAATTATTGACTATATTGTGTATGCTGTACTTTCATCCTCATGACTAACTTATATTGATTGAGATTTTGTGCCTCTTTATCCCCTTCACCCATTCCTACTATTTGACTGAAGTGTTTTCTAATTCAAATAGATAAATAGTCCCCTTTGCATGTCCATGTTCTTATCCCTAATATAAATGGAGAGTCTAAACTCTGTTTTATTATGACATATTCAGAATTAAGGAATCTGCCCATGGTTAAGCATTTTGTTATGTAAAATGAAGCAACTCCTAGGAATGTTAGATATGGTCTGGAAGCATTGGGTCAGTTCTGTGTGCATTTAAAAAAATTCATTTTTGCAGTATTTTTGCTCACCAAAGGCAGTTTGAACCTTAGGCATTCCAAACTTCCTTCTTCCCACCATATTCCTGAAGAAGAAAACACAATTGCACTCTAACACTTTAAATAAAGTATCAGAGAATGTCGACATGCCAAAAATATTCTCCTAGAACCTCATGAAAATGAATTAAAATCAACCCCTTTTTAAAAAAACCTGCTACTGGTTATGTTCAAGGCAGGGTATACTGAAGTGCTCAGGTCAGGCTTGAAAAACTTAGTTTATTCTTTCTTACCAATGTGCTGTGTGTAACTGTTTCTTTCATTTTTGACATTTTAATCTTTAATCTATCCAAGTCCTTCTTGCTTTTATAAGTCTCCTTTCTCTTCAGTTCACAGAGTTTTTTGTATTCTTCAATCTGTAGTGACAAACATAAACCAATTAAAAAGCTTATGAGAACAACAAAGTTTAGGAAATCTTTTTAAAATTTTGCCAACCTGATGCATATTCAGTCTGAGTATACCACTGTCAATATCTAAGTACCTCAACAACTAAAACAAATAAAACCTGGGTTTGCTTGTTTTGCAGCATCAGGAAAAATAATGAACCAAGGGACCAAACTGTGATTATAAAATGTTCAAGTAGTACATTTATAAAAGCAGCAAAACAAGGATCATTAATAGCAAATTAAAATAGCAATGGACACTTAGTAATTTACTAGGAACACACCAAGGCCATGATTACCAGACTGATAATGTGTTAAGCAGATCAGGAGAGACAAAGGGAGGCCTGAAGAATTGTCTGGAAACCTAAATTTACATTACTTAATGGGAAATAAAGCAGACTAAAGGCAGAGTAAACCGAGCCACTGAAGATAGGGCAGCTCACAATCCTGGACCACTTCTTACCAGTTTACCAAGATCAAACATATTCTGATCACCTGTCAGACCCTAATGAAAGAGTCACCATCTTTTTAAAATCAAACACACTAATGGATGTGTCTGACACACTGAATTATCAAGAACAAGTTGAGTAGTAAGGCCTAAGAAAGCATATTCAACTCTGTGCTTAAGTGTGGTGAAAACATATTTGAGTAACTTTCCATCAAAGCCACCAGGCAATTTACCCAAAGTGGCTGCTCTGTGATTATCATGAATTATCTCTGTACCAGGGCACAGTGCATATAAATGGAACTTTGTGATTCATAGATTATGTTGAAAACTGGAATACTGTGTTTATACTCTGGCCTAAGCCTTGTCCCAAGGCCTTGCAATTATAGAAATAATATAAACAAAAAGTATTTTGTTTTGTGTTAGGGAAGATCTTCCAGATTTGAAGACTCTGACCTGTAATAGTTTTCCTTCTCATAGGAAGTCAAGAGAAACTAAGGGAGGTTACCAAGGCCTATCACATGCCTTTTGTGAATGCTGGCAGATGACTCCTTCATTTCCACCCCTGTCTGCTTAGCCACGGGCACCAGACATTTCCTTAGGATCTATTATCATTCCAGGGGTGGGCACTGTCTTAATCTGGCCAGATCAGACACACCAACAAGACCTTTGTTCCTCAGTTGAATAAAGAATCATATAGTCCAGCTGCCACTGGCAGCGTTTTGTGGCTATGAGGGAAACCAGCCTTAAGATGAAGGATGGAGGAGAGAAGTGATGCGCCTCTGTATTTCCTAGTGGTGAATTCTTACTGTGTGAGATAATAAATGCCCTTTGGGTTTAAACCAGGTTGAGTCAGGGCTGCTGCTGTTTGCATCTAAGTGTCCTTAACTGGTGCCCTTTTCCAGAGATAGACCAATGGTTAGGCAAAGTACTAACCAGGGCAAATTCAGCCACGACCTACTTATGTAAAGCTATTCTCATTCATGTAGGTATGGTTTGTGACTACTTTCATGCTAAAATGACAGAGTTGAATAATTGTGACAGAGACTGTGAGTCCCACAAAGACCTAAATATTTACTATCTGGCCTTTTTCAGAAAGAGTTTGTGATTCTGGAGAAAGACTTTTACATAAGGAAGATAAAACCTGTCATGTTTGTAAATTCAAAGTTTGCAAATTTGAAGCCCCTCTGTATTTTCTTCTTGCATTTACCATTTACATTAAAAAATAGGAAGGGGGAAACTTTCCCCAAGGGCTTAAAATGAAGTTAGAAACTCTTTCATTCAATGAAGTAATATTATAGAGGTCCTACCATGCAAGGCATGCCAAAGTGCCAGGATACAGCCGTGAGTGTAACACACAAACCCTGCCCTGTGGAGCCTTCCTTCTGGTGGGCAAAGCTCAGCTCTGAGGTCACCACTGACCACCTGTTCAGTCCCAGGGGAGGTACAGAAGAGGGACAGGGTTCCCCCTTCCTGCTTCCTACTGCCTTGTCACTCAGCCGTGCCCACAGATACTTCTGCGCCTGTAACTTAAGCACTCGCATGGGGGTTCTGGACTGCTCAGTGAGAATAGAACCATGCTTTCAGCGAGGGCAGGAGCAATGGAGTGACATGACTGCCTCTGGCATTGTTGTGCATAGGGACAAAACATAAAATCCCTTTTGGTGCTTGCTTCCCTGTGATAGAGCCTGAACAGGGGTACCGCCTTTTTGATTAAGCCCATCTGCCATCTCAGAGACCTAGGTTTCACCTTACTTAGGCTGCAAGCATTTTCCAGAGGACACATCAGCAAGCCACAGTCCACCTTTTCCTTGGCCGATTCCCTCAAAAGCCTGCCAAAAAACCTGGCCATAAAAAGCCTCTTACCCTCTGAGAGACGCCTTCTTTGTTCTGCTGGCCAGAACAGAGGGGTCCCTCTCAGGTTTAGCAATAAACTTGCTTGGACTGTGGAGTTTGTGTCCCTTTTCTTCCTTTTACCCTGAAATTTCCATCTCATTGTGATAACAGTAAATCTAAGTGAGGTCTAGCTGAGTGACAGGAGCCCATCACTGTTTCTGAGATGTGAATTTCAGCTGATTCCAGCACTGTAGCCCAGACTAACAGCTGGCGTCAACCTCTGGAAAGGTCCAGGAAGCTCAGCTTTTCCAAATTCTGTTTAGCAGTCCAGTGCCTGAGGATTCCTTGCCAGCTTCTCCACAGAGTGCCTGTTTGAAGGATGACCAGGGCTAGGTACATGCTTGAGAAAAATCATCCATGGTTTTATTGTAAAACTATTTCTGAGGGCACAGGTGCTTTGAAGGATGAACAGTCCTGACTGGAATTTATGAACAGTCCAAGCCTTATCATGGAGTCAGTCACCACATGTGGCCACTGCCAGATTGTATTCCACTATATTTTATTAAGACACAAGAGATACACTTTAATAAGTGTTCTTCTCTTTCTTTCTATTTTTTTTTTAATATGGCAAGGCTGGGGGCCCAAGTCCAATTTCCTGCATTTCAGCTCTGCCAGTTCCTGCCAGGGAGCAGTCAGCGCTTTCTGCCCTGGGCCAGGCCCCCCTGCTTGGAGATGAGTTAAACCTGACTCAACCTGGTTTAAACTCGAAGGGCATTTATTATCTCACACAGTAAGAATTCACCACTAGGGAATTCAGAGGCACATCCCTACTCTCTACTCACTCTATCCAGTGCTCTGTGGCTCCCCCAAATCCTGGGGTAGTAGGGGCTTAGTTCCCACACCATCCAGATTCAAGTGGACACTAGACTCCAGGTGACTGTGGTTTCAGGAGTTGGCAATGGCATATCAATGAACCTGGGACAACCCCATGCCAAACAAAGAACTGTCCTGAGTCATTTTTGTGGTGAATTTTACCTAGAACGGCCTAGCAGCCAGCAAGACAGAGTAGTTATACTGCACCCCTTCCTCCAAAGTTGCGTGTCTCCAAATTCTCCTTTCTGTTGGGGCCCTTGGCTCTGCCTTGTGCCTCTGCAGGCCGCTCCCCTCTGATTCACTGAGCAGGAGTAGCTGGCTCCAGTGGGTCAGAACTCCCTGGTCCTGTCCATACAGACATGGCCTCAGCACTGTCAAAGGCAACCAGATGACATGAAAGCAAATTCTTTGTCCCTATAGGGCAGCTTATGAGCAAGGGAACACCCCGGTGTTACATTTCCTGTCACTCATCTTCTTTCCTGTGAACTGAGGATGGTGCTACACAATTAAACATCTTCCCCAAGGGCCTCCAGTGTTTTTGAGCCTCTGCCCTATTTCCATCCCAATTTGCACAGACAATGGCACAAGGAAAGCTTGTCAGCCTTGAGGGCAATTAAATTATTTCCCATTTCCCACCTGAGATTCTGTACAATTCTTTATTTTAAAAGGAAAATCATGCCACTTACTGTTTCACTCAATTTTTGTTTTCTTTTCAAGTATTCTGCTTTTTCTTTTTCCATTTGCTCTTCTATCTCTTGGGTACATTTTCTTTGCACTTCTATTTCTTCTTTTTTCTTGTTTATTTGGGTATGAGTCTCATTGATGTAAACTGTGGCCGTTACTCTTTCTTCCATTGTGTGGTTGAGCGCCAGGACAGCCTTCTCGTGATTCCTCGCCAGCTCCTCTTGCTTTTCACTAGGGGAAAAGAATCGTTCCTGGCATGAAGAGTATGACTTTTAGGAAAGGAATTTTAAACCTGTTCAGTAAGATGGACCATGAGAAAGAGCGAAAATGTAAGAAATACTTATTTTAGAGGTGTATTTGTGATCGCTTAAACTTGGTTGCAATGAGAACAGAAGGAAACACAAGTGTCAACCCTGCAGTTTTCCCACTGCAAATTGGCATGTGATCCTGCCTCACCCCAGCCATCCCCACATCCCAGGTAGGATATCCCATATATGGGACATTTTGATTTAAAGTGTACACTGATTCAAAAGCAGTTTGGAACAGAAGAGTGGAATCTGGCCAGACAAATGGTTTGGAATGTAGCATCACCATATCTAACTTATCATCCTGAGATAGGTGGTTATGAGGCAGAGCAGGGACATGGGACAAGCATCATGATTAATTTTTCCTGCCTGTGATGGAAAATGCCAAGATATAAATAGTACAGTAAGAATAGGAAGGACTCCATCTTAAGGTTAAGATTCCATTTTGAAAAGCAGGGAGTTAGGAGGTGAGATTTCTGACATATTTAATGGTGATCAAACAATAGCCACCCTATCCTAAGGCATGGTGAGCGTCCTAAATGTGCCCCCACTGCTGGAGAGGAACCACTACTGGAGACAAACAGGATTGGATTATTCCTCGAGTTTAGTGTATCTTAAAGAATATCTAGAGGATAGACTATGGGTGATGACAAAATGTCTCTCACAGGAGACAGACATCATGAGGCCACATGTCAAGCCTATGCCCCTTTGGCCCTTTACCCTTTCTTGAAATCCTTAAAAGACATGAATATGAAGCCTTTAAGCATACCTCTCCTCTGAGGCTGCCACACTCCCCATTCTCTGAGTGTGTACTTTGCCTTAAATAAAGCCTTCTCATTGCTCAACTTACAGCATTTTGCCTCTGTGCTCTTCCAAGCCTCTTGGGAGATTAATAAGAGACCTCTTTTCCCAGTGGTAATCGTCTTGGTTACTTCACCATTTCATTCAATTTTCTAGACTTAAGCTGTAGTCTTCTCTCTCTCTCTCTTCTACTTCAGACGAGCAGGGAAGGGCTACTGAGATGTCTGATTTGGGTTTGCAAGTTCCCATCAGCTGGGTGACCTGGACGGGACTGCAGCTGTATGATCACGCTCTTTGGTAGTTGGTAGCCTGCCTGAAAATCTCCTTCCGTTGCTTTGGGGAAGTCCTCAGAACATAATCTCACTCTATCCAGTGCTCTGAGGCTCCCCCAAATCCTGGGGTGGTAGAGGCTTAGTTCCCACACGATGCAGATTCCAGTGGACACTGGACTCCAGGTGACTGTGGTTTCAGGAGTTGGCAAGGGCATATCAATGAACTTTCCTTTCCTCCCTCCGCTCTTCCCTGCTCTTTACTGCCTGTATGGCTGCTGCCATTCACTACTACTCTCACTTTAATGATTTCCTTCCTTCCTTATACTCATTGGACCTGTTCGTGAATTCCTTCTTAATCAGAGTCAAGAACTGTCCCCCGTCTGGGTTGAGGTTTCACTTAGTACACAGGGAGAGGCCTCCCGAGATGCAGCTGCCTGGCAACAGTTAAGCCAAAGAAAGACAAAACATCTCACTAACCCTCCAGCCACCGTCATTGCTCTGCCTGGAGGTTCCTGGAGAAAGCTAACCTTCCTCTGATAGACAGGAGTTCAGGAAACCAGAGCCAAGTCCATCTTCACTGTTCAGAGAATGTTTGAAACCTAATTTGAAACCTCCTGCCTCCTCCCAGCTGCAGTCAAATCCAAGTTCAAGAGGAGACATTAGCCTCACATATCCATTGCTGGCCACTTGCACCTGAATAAGACTTTACATTGTAAGAAACATCTATCCCAGAGCTAATAATAAAAGGAGAGACAATTAGTGCCATTTCTGTAACTTCCTTGTTTAAAAGCTCCTGCAATGTAAAGACCTTTTCCTTTTTCTTGTTCCCGGAGCTGAAGACTTCAGTTTAGAGGGACTGTGTGCAAGACTCAGGAAAACAGAAACAGGTTGTTGGTAGTGTATTTTCCAGAGTTAAGTTCACACAGAAACGTAATAAAAAGAAGCCCATCCTAGAGGAGATCAGATAACGGGTGCTCTGAGTCTGAGAATGAATCAACCTAATCGAGTAGCCTCTGGGAAGCAAAGCAAAATAAAACAAATCAAATCAAAAAACCTAACTAGATGTATTGTGATGGCTAAGAGGAGGGCACTCAGAAACCAAATGCAGGACCTATGGAAAACCCACCCCAAGCCTGCATGTATCAAGTTTTTGAGAACTGTCCAAGAGAGGAGCTCCTGTCAGAGATGGTGGGCATCTTGATATACGTCTTTGAGAAATGGATGCAAAAAGTGATTGTGGCTTAATGATTCTAGCTCTGCAAGCAACCCACCTTAAATCTGTAATTTGCCTTTCTGTGAAGATTTCTCTAGAGCAGGGATTCTCAAAGTGTAGTCAGGCCAGGAGCATCAGAGTCACATGGGAATGTGTTAGAAATGCAGTCTCACCCCCACACCAGATTTGCTAAATAAAAAATTTGGTGGGGTAGTCCCAGTAATTTGTGTTTGACAAGCACTCCAGGTGATTCTGATGTACACTCTAGTTTGGGACTCACTGATCTTTAGAGGTGTGATAGTGCTCGCCCAATGGTATGAGTATTTTAGCCTGGGTATTACCTTCCTGTCTTAGTTTAGAAATTGATTGTCTAGTTTATGTATAGCTGGCTCTGCTGATTGCACCTAGCATGCACCATGCACAGACCTGCACTGTGAATTCCTTACAGGGAGTAGCGTGTGCAGTATTGAGTGTATTTGACCATGAACTTCCTTCTCAGTGGAGCTTCTCTGAGAATAGGTGCTCTGAGGGCCTACTTCAGAAAAGGGACTCTTCTGGGCCTGTAGGTCTCCACCTAATTCCTGATACTTTGATATCTTGTGCATTGTCTTGCCTAAGGATTTCAGCCCTGGGCAAGTCACTACGGATTCAGTGAGACCAAGAAATGACAACAGAATGACTTGGGGTAAAAGGGTCTATACCTGGCTTTATTCTCCCGGCAGTAGGTTGAGCACTAGCATCATGTCTGCATCCAGCCGTCTGCAGGTCTGTAATCCACCTCTGTCTCTGCCTCCACCCAGAGCACTGGGCAGAGCTCTTTAAATAGTGACTCAGTCTGTAATAGCTTATTGCCTACAGGTGTGAAAGCAGTAGCCTAGCAGCAGGCCAGTCACATCATCAAGTAGTTTAGGGTCAGGTGAGGATGCTGGCCATAGGAAATTCCATTTTCCCCACAGGCACCAAGCAACTTTCTGATTATTTTAGCTTCCCAAGAAGATTATTTTCACTACAATGCAGGCTTTTTGAACATTTCTTACTCTGACAAACTGACATTCTGGTATTTATACATTAGCCTTGCAAATTTTCTTCCAGTACTGAGCTGTTCTTAGTGTTCTGTTTCATTTTTCTCTTTCAGAATATATCTCTTCCTCTGTGAGCTGGGTAAATCCAGATTTTTAATCCCAATTTTACAGATGGAGAAAATGAGGTCCACAAGAGTGAAGTGCTGGCAGTACAGCTCAGGAATAAAGGAAACATACTAGTAGGTGTCAGGTCCTGAGCTATAGGCAGTTAAATATATTGTCTCATTTAATTACAAATTGAATCTAGAACCCTCTTCTGGGAACCAATCCAGTCCTTAGTCCTCCAGTGGATTATAACTGAATATCTTTAAGGAACTAAACTAGCTACAATATATTTGGTTTGATACTGTATTTATAATACAATACCCAGCAGCATTTCTTGCTGTGCAGTTGAGGTTTATAAACTTAGTTTTACTAAGATGGAAACTAAAACCACTGTGTGCCTCTACCTTTGGAGGTGACATGCAAGGTAGTGTGTGATTTACACAGCTCCTGGGAAGCTGGATTGCCTCTGAAATTGTACAGGTCTCTTGGCTGTGGAAGATAAAGATTTTCTGCTCTCCTCACCAGCTCTCCCTCATCAGCTCAGGTCATTTTCTGTAAGGGGTCTCTACCTCTTAACCTGCCCTGTACCTGTTCAGACCAGAGCACCAACCCTTAGGACAACTGTCTCACTCCAGCCCCAGACCCCAGCTCCTTCAAATACTGAATAAAAAAATACCTACCCTAGAGTGTTATTAAGTTTGTTCAGTTCAAGTATTTTCTTCTTCAGAAATTCTATTTTGTTATTCATCCTTGTAATTTTCAGGCATAATTGACTTATCTCAAAAAGATTTAATCTGCGAGCATCTTTGACACATTCTTAAAAATAAGTGGAAATGTTACTAATTACTTGAGAAACACAGCACAATTGTAGATTTTCAGTTTTCAAATTGTGAGCAAATAGTGTCTTTCTTTGAAATAGTCTCTTAATTATGCTCCTGTAGCAGACAGGAACTCTCACCCCTATGGACCCTCTCAGTCTGAACTAATCAGTTATTACCCTTATTTCAGCTGCTGCTATGGTGACCAGTTTTCTATGGGCTCTGAACAACTTCAGACTTGTGCAGTTTGACAGCACCTGCTTCCTGCCTGTTCTGTCCGCTTCTCACATCCCGTCCAGACTTCTCTGTCACCTCTACCATGGGACTTCTTTAGACATTCATAGCCATGCATGTGTAAACCAAAGTGTGGAAGGTGGGGAAAATATTGGACCAATGACGGACAAAAGTGGATGGTCCTGAGAAGAGGTGATACTTTGTCTGGGGGACATGTCTCAGAATTAATTAGCTTCATTTAGTGACAGTCAACACCACATTGCACCTGATATTAGCTCTCTCTTTTCCAGTTTTGTCTCCTTATCCTCCCCTCCTCCCCTTTAGATGGTACTCCCTAACAAAATAACAGTACAAAAGCCATTGCCTCCAGTTGGCTTTCAGGGGAACCCAGTGTGTTAAGAACTGATGGTTCATCCATAAATAACAAATCAATGTAATCACTAAGACCTCAGAGGATTACCTCAGAGCATGACAGGTGGTAAGAATGCATGAATTTTTGAACGCTACTAATTAGAAAGGTACTGTAGTGCCCATTTCTACACATCAAATTCCCAAAAACTAGCTGGTAGCTCTCCTGAGAGAGTAGGTTGTTTTTTCTAGACTACTAGTTGAATTTGCTCTATTACAGCAGGGCTGTTCAAACCTTATGTCTCAAATATACTGTGGAAATAGATTCTGATATGCTAGATATAGAGTGGGCCTAGAGATCTGCACTTTGTAACAAGGTCTCATGCGGTACAGCAGCTGCTGATCCAAGAACCATACTTTGAGTAGCAAAGCTTTATAAGGCCAATTAAATTTATTTTGTTAAGTAGTGTGTATCAAGGACCTTCTAAGCTAGCATGAAATTTTCTTTTCCTTATAAAATAGTTTTCCTAATTATAAAAGTAAACCAATCTGGAAAATAAGGAAACACAACCAAAGAAAATAAAATAAAGAAAAGAAAAAATAATTCTTAATTCTGCCTTTAGGACAGATATCTTCTGAGTCTTATATTTTCTCTGCATGTAGAATTTGCTGTATTTTTCTTACCAAACAAGACTAACATTATGCATATTACTTTATAATTGTATCACCCAGGATCTAATTAGGAGATAGAAACATTATATATAGTATATTGAATGGGGAAATTTAATATAAAGAATTATTTATTCGGTACATTATTTATACAACTATATTATTCTAACTATAACAGAGGATTAGAGTAATGAGAGAATGAATGGTAAGGAAGTAAAGAGAACTCTAAAGAATTCAGAAACAGCAAGCACAAGGAATAGCCACCATCCCTAAGGCTGCGATAAGAGTGCCTTCAAGGAAGCAGCAGAACTTGCGGGAAAGATGGCTTCTGGGGGGTTGGGAGGAACCTGTCCACAGGAAGTTGCCCCACTTCAAAACTTACTGCAGAACCACCCAGAGGGTACCAGGGAAGCAGCTGACAGGGAGGTGCCTCACTGGTATCGATCTGTCCCAAAGCCACCCATGGGTACTGCTGGGCACTGCAGACTGCTGCCAGAGTAGGGGTGTGAGGAAGCTGAGTGCACTGCGAGACTCGGCCAAGCTGAGCAGGCTGGAACCAGGAAGAAGCACCCTTTCCCTCAGTATCCCTCTAGTGCCTTCTACTGACAAAGCTTAACATTGTGCCAGCTGGTACAATGTGTACAGGGCCCAACTCCTTTATCACAGAATAGACAATAAAAGTAGATTTGGAGCTGTATGGTAATAAATGGATAACTGTAATATCCTTTTAAAAGTGTTTTTTATTTAGATCACTGTTACAGCTTGGGCTCTCCAGGAAACAGATTCTAAAATTTGTGTGTAGAAATTTTAATGTGTAGAGTAAGGTGAGCAGAGTTGAGTAGAGCAGGAGGTTAAACGGCGGTGAGTTGTGGAGCTGTGGTGACACTTTAGAGCTCTTCTGCATTGAGGGAGGAAGGCTGGCTTTGCTACCCTCACAGTGACTAAATGCAGGCAGCACCTGGGAAGGGAATGAAACCTGGAGGGAAGCCTTACTCTTTTGTCCAGGGAATTTTCTGCAGAGAGTTGAGCCTCAGCCAATATTCCTTGCAGCTGGGGAAATGAAGCTGGACCTTACCTATACCAAATGCAACATTTTACTAAAAATAAATAAAAAACCTAAATGTAAGAGCTAAACCTATTTTATAGTTTTACTTTGAAGAAATCATAGGGGGAAATCTTCATGACATTGGATTTGGCAATGATTTCTTGGATATGACATCAAGAGCACACACAATAAAAGAAAATATAAACTGGACTACACTGAATTTAAAATTTGTGTGTATCAAAAGTTATTAACAGAGTGAAAAAGCAGCCCATAGAATGGGACAAAATATTTACAAATAATATGTCTGATAAGGGGTTAACATCCAGAATAGATGAAGAATTCCCACAACTCAACAGCAAAACAATGTGATTCGAAGATGGCTGAAGAACCTGAATAGACATTTCTCCACAGAAGGTATAACAATGGCCAATAAGCACATGAAAAAATGCTCAGCATCACTAATCATTAGGGAAATGCAAATCAAAACCACAATGAGACACCAGTTTATACTCATTAGGAAGGCTATTATTTAAAAACAAAACAAAAAGAGAAAATAACAACTAGCAAGAATGTAGAGAAACTGGAACCCTTGTGCGTTTTGGGTGGCAATGTAAAATGGTACAGCCAGTGTGGAAAGCAGTATGGCAGTTTCTCAAAAAAGTAAATGTAAAGCTACCATATTACCATACAAGCCAGCAATGCCCTTCTGCATATATACCCAAAAGAAAGTGGAAGCAGGGACTTAAATAGATATTTGCACACCCATGTTTATGACAGCATTATTCACAATAGCCAAAAGGTGGAAATAACCCAAGGGTCCATTGATGGATGAATGGATAAACAAAGCATGGAATGTACATACAATAGAATATTGTTCAGCCTTAAAAGGAAGGCTACAACATGATGAACCTTGAAGACATGCCAAGTGAAATAAGCCAGTCACAAAAGGACAAATATTAGATGATTACACCTATCGTAGCCACATTCATGGAGCTAGAAAGTAGAGCGGTGGTTTAGTCAGTCAAGCAGTCTAATTTACTTGGATAAAGATCAATTTGGAACGGGTTGACTATATATCTTCAGTCTGTTTAGAAACTAAATCATATAACAAGTTTTATACATTTTTTCCACTTCAAATGTCAGGGAAGATTATTATGGATCTCACTACATTTGTGCTGTATACTTTTTCTAGCTGTATTTTGACATGAAATAACCATTAAACTCATCTTGTTACAACTATACTTAGTCCTATTTTCTTACAAGATAAACTAAATTTCTACAGTTGAAAAACCTCAAAAGTACCTTCCAGTTCTCTCCTAATGTTACTGGGAAGAGTTTCCAATAGAAAATACAGTCTGCTGAGCTTCATGCTTTCGATTTCCAAAAGATCAATTGTGGTTTTTCTCATTTCTTCCTGAAAATTGAAATCACATTTAAAAAAATTGATGCATTAAAAAATGGTAAGATTTATTTCCTCAACAATGTCCTATAAATGTTTTTAGAAATAAAATTTGATTTTCATTACATACCTTCTACTGCTAGTTCTTATCTGGAATGGGAAGTTGGAAAAATAATTATTCTAAGGTCAGTTTTTAAGTGTCACTATTAGCTTATTTTTTAATTTCTGCTGATTTTCTTCCACTCAGAAATCATCTTTCCCTATGTAGATATATTTCTTGTATGCAGTTTCAAACAATTTAAAAGGAAAGGCTGTAGCAAAAAGGGTAACATTGAGAAAGAAAACTACTTAATTAAAAAATGGAAAATGTCTATAAAAATATAGGTGTAAAGAGAACAATGGTTTTCTTATCAACAAATTCAAGCAAATAGTCTAATGGGGCTTTTTTTGGGGGGTAGGGCTATCTTAAAAAACATTCAAAAATCTGTTAGTGGAAAAATAGGTAAATCACCTTTTAAATAAATGGTCATAATGGCTACAGATAATTTATGATCTGAGAAATTGACATTACATTTTATGAATAAGAAGATTATCTAATTGTATATATAGGATAACCACTTTTCTGTAAAAATAAAATTCAATATAGGCATCACCCATACCCTGAAAGTAGGAAAGACATTCACTAAAGAGTTCATTGCAATTATTTTAGGGTGGTGGGTTCATAGAGGGTTTTACTTTCTTTTTTCGTTTTTTAATTTTCCAGAGTAAACATGCAGCACTTTTATAATAGTGAAAAATTATTACTTTAAAAAATGGAAGGATTTATCTCTAAGAGATTTCATAGCTCAGATATTACATGGAAACATACTAGATACCTAATAAGCCACAGTACATAATCTGACCCCTTCAAATATGGGAGAAAATGTAACTTAAGAACAAAGCAGGAGAAAAGGTTTCCACTGGACCACAGGGCAGTACAATACACACGAGCACTCGTGTTTACATATCTGCATTCATCTGAGCAGGATTATAAAGTAAAATTCTGTAGTCTATTTATCAGCTATATATAATTACAGATAGATATAAGGTAATGAAATTAGCTTTTCTCAGTAGTCTGTAGACTCAAACTCATTTACCTTATAGCCATATTTCTACATTTTTAGATACTTGATATTTAGTAGATTCTTACTCAATACTTTGAGATCGAATGAGACTTCCCCATTTTGACCCTGCCAGGGAAGCATCGTGAACAGACACATGTTTATGACACTTCTAAAGGAAATTAATAAATTAGTGAATATTTCTTTGATGGGGCCAAGGTAGTCAAACTGAGTTTGTTTGTTCTCACTGAACCGCATTGTCTACTTCAGTGGACGAGGTGCCAAATAATCTTTCACCAGTTAAGAAACAAATTGCTTACAGAGAACTGAATACATTAGCACCATGCAGGCAATTCATTCCAGTGGTTGGTTGGTTGTTTTAAGCAATGCTTACATGTTACGTCCCAAGCGTTTGCCTGTGTGGCCCACCCCTTAACTGAGCCCTGTTGTCACCAGTGCGGCTCCTCCTAAGCAGGTTTACCCTCATCCATAGCATAAGTCCTCAGTTCAGGGTTCTGCATGGAAAATCAGACAACATTCCACAGTTGATCAACACTAGTGCAAATGCTTAGTACACAGAGAAATTTTTTTTTTCATTGAGGGTAAATATTTTCCCTATTCATCTACTGAACTACCTTGAACAGAGTTGGTACTAATTAAAGGTTGATGATAAGTGAAACATTTAAAAAATAGCTCGTATAATACAATACCAATTTCTTTACAGCCATAGCAATGTCCTTAAGAAAGGTCCTAGCTTCTTCGTTGCATTTAAAATAGTCACTTTGCAGAGATTGTTCTAAAAAAAAAAAATTAGAAAATTAAGATCTCATTCATGTGTCCAGAACCTATTTAACCCTTTAAGATCTAGTTCAAACGCCTACTCAGCTGAAAATTACATCTTCTATCTCCAAATTTCTGTAGCAGTTAATATGAATCTATTTTGTTCTTGTTACTGCCCTATTTTATAGTATTCTAATTTAGGTATATATTTTATGCTTGGAGTATGAATATCTTGAAGCAGTGAGATGATTATTGTAAACTCCTCTTATTCCATCTTCATATCTCTCATGGTAGAAGGAGAGGATCTGTATAAGATAGGCCAAAAAAAAATATTCATGAAAGGGAAAACTATAACCTGTCTACAATAGTCTACAACATAGGCTTAAGAATGTTTTCATATGTACATATATCCTAAATATATGTACATATATTTTGCAAAAAAAATAACTTAATGGTTTAAAGATTCATTGTCATTTTATTTCTGTGGCAATATTTTAATCATGAAACGAGAGTAAATACTTGTAAAACTGGTAGGTGTGATGTAGACAATTTCTAACTCATTCCATTCATTGACATAGGAAAGATGTCTCCTTTTCTCTCACACTGATAGTAGGAAGCACATAAGAAGAGAGGTTTGTGAAATTTTAGCAAAGATAATCAAGACAAGATAATAACAAATGGGAAGAAGGAAGGAAAAAAGAAAGGATAAAAGGAAGAGGAGAAAAAACAAATGAAGCTCTACTTAACACTGGCCCTCTCACCTCTGCATTACAGAGATTGTGTCTAATCAGATTCCAGGCCTGCACCCTCATGTGTGGGAGAAGTTTGATGTGATTAATGTTTTACATGATTCTTATAACCTTTTGATGATTCCCATTTCACAGATAACAAACCTAAGACTTCTGAGGTCATGTCATATGTTCAAGGTTACCAAGCCCCTCACTGATGGTCTGGATTCAAACACAAGAGCTGTGACTCCAGAGTTCATGCCCTTAATGGCCATAGTCCCCTCTCAGAAGAGGAAATAGCAATTTCTGCCTTTAGTCCCAGGGAACCTGGATTCTCTTAATGCACTAAGCTCTCAAGCCAAATGAAAATCCGTTACTGAGTTTGCAAGCAAGTGCGTATTGGGGCAGGCGCGGGGTGGGAGGGTGGTAGGCAGTGTCTGCTTTCTTTTTTCTGATGGAGTGAATGAACACAAGCTTGTTCCCACTAGCAAATGAGCTGGAGAGTTGCATATTTTATAAAACAGTCAGGTTAAGAGGCTTAATGAAATTTTTTCTTACAAAACTATCTGAGGGTCCAGAAATTATAAGCAGAAAAAAATATTTGCGCTGAAGTGCTAGAGTTGAATGGGAAGCTAATCTAGAGAGCAAGCGTGAAGAGAGCTCAAGACACTAGCTCTGTCTCCAGCAGTGACTTCGAACAAATGTGAATCACTGAGGCCTCTCAGCTAGTTAACATTCTTCATGATAATACACACCCAAGTCTGTCGCATAAGAATTGTGAAGCTAAATTAGTTCACCTAAGAAGGAAAAAAGAAACTATCCCAAATCAACAGATTTAGAAATCAGTATGATTATCTCGAAGCAGTGAGATGATTATTGTAAAGCAAGGGGATGCTTTGTTGTTTGGCCTAAGTGGTTTCTGAGTTGAACAGGAAATGCCCTTTCTTGGACTTTATCTTACTTTAAACTTAAGTGCCTTGATTACAGGTTCAGTTTTCTGACCGAAGAAGTATTTTAACCTTGCTCCATCCAAAGCCATTATCTGTTTGCTTCTCCTAAACAGCCTTCTCCAAGTTTCCCTGCCCAATACAAGAGCTTTCTTGTTTAAATTCTCCAGTTTGCCATGGCAAAGTGTTGGAGGAAATTTACTTGCAAAGAAAAGGCAAATAGGGACAAGCTGAAATCAAAGGCATAATCTACATGCAGGTGGGCACTCCAGTTCCAGGCGAACGGCAGGGGCCTGGGGGTCCGGGATGTCACCAGCTAGTAACTAGCGCCGGGTTGGCCAAGCCACTCTAGTGGCGCTAGGACCCCCCCAGGCGCCGCTCCGAGCGCACGTCCCTGACGGCGCCGCGGGCCTCTCACCCACAACGAAGAGCTGCTCCAATGCGGCGGCAGCGACCGAGGAGCCCAGGGTGGAGGGGAAGGTGCATAACTCCAGGGAGGGGCCGGTGGAGACGGCGGCCGCCCGTAGCGCCTTCTCGCTGGCCCCGGGCTCTGGGGACCGGGAGCTCAGGGACATCTTGCTGCTGCGCGGTTCCTACCAGCCGGGCGGAGGGGAGGGCGGCCGGTTGCCCGGGCGACGAGGAAGCCGCGCTCTTCCGGGGTGGTACTTTCCTGGCTCCCCAGCGTCATCCACAGTAACTGAGCGATCATGGGAGCATGAGCCCCACTTTATCCTTCCACCTCCGCTTCTGAGTTCAGGCCTGGTGCTTTTCCCGTGGACCCCTGGGATCCTAATAACCATCGCTTTTGAACTCACCTCTGTGCCATGGCTGCAAGAGGCGCCTCGTGTTCTCCCTTTATTTTCACAACAGCTTCGAGGCAGGTCATTTTAGTATCTCCGCTGGTACTACAAGGAAACTGAGGCCGGGATGACTAAGTGAACTGCCCAGGGTCACAAAATGATAATTTTGGATTAAAATGGAGTCTGTATAAATTCTTTCACTATGCTACAAAACCCATCTCTGTACTCTTCTAGAACTTTCCTTTGTCTAGTCTATCACTGAGCACATTTTACCTTAAATCAGTGATTTTCCTCTCTCCCCATTAGACTGTGAGCTGTTTGAAGCGGGATATTGTTTTTCTCTGCATCTCCAAAATCCAGCCCAGCTTCAGGCTCATATTGAGTGTAATTTAGTTCTCCTTTCCTTGGGCTGTTTCGTGAGGAGCAAAGATAATTTAACCTTCCCTTAACTTTTCTTTACAGATGGCAAAACTGAAATCAGCATGATAGTAACAATGACACTAGCGGTCATTTGTTGAATGTTTACTATGTTCCAGGCACTGCTCTAAATACTTCACCTAGAGTAACCCATCTGTCTTGCCAGTGGGTTTCATCCCCAGACAAGTTCACTGAGGATTCAGTGAGACTGAAAAAATGACAGTGGAGCGTTCTTGGGCTAAGAGGGTTTATATCCAACTTTATTCCCACAGTGGCACTCAGAGCGAGTCTGCATGCAGCAGGCCCATCTCTGCCTCTGGGCCTCTCTATCCCTGCAGTCGTCTTAGTCTCTGTCCTCGGCACTGCCACCACTCCAGCCTCTGCTCTCCTGCAGCCATGCCACCATGTTGCCCAGAGCACTGGGCGGAGCTCTTCATATAGTCAGTAACAACGTATTGCCCACACGTGTGTAGTGAGCCAGTCGGCCAGGGCCAGGTGAGAATCCTGGCCATAGGAACCTTCACTTTCTCCACACCATTTAATACTCATAATCTTTTGAGGTAGATATTATTTCCCACTTTGCAGAGAAGGCCACAGCTCATGCCCTGAATCACTATGCTCTACCGCCTTGGTTACCAGATGTCCAAAGACCAGGTTCTGGAGTCCATTGTTATAAAAATAAACACTGAACTCGAAAGAAAGCAAGCAGATGGAATTTATTAGAGTCAGCTTATGCACTAGGAGCTGACAGGAAAAGACAGGTCAGATCCAGCAAAAAGGAGGTGGTTTGGGATTTATAAAGGCAGTCTGTGAAGGTCCAGAGGTTCAGAGGTACGACAGTGATTGATCTTTCTTGATGCTTCTACAACAACATGTCTCAGGGTGGGTCCCTAACTTTGACATTCAACATATGTCAGTTTATAATCTCATGGTCTGTTAGTCAAAACATTTCTTTTGATGCCCTAGAACAGAGACTTTCAGAAAAAAGAATGTTAATAGTAAACATCACAGGTTAATTTAAAACTTGTGCTTGATTGGGTGATTCATTGTCACAGGTCAAGTGACCTAAACCTTGTCCTTGACCAGGTGCTATTCTAAGAATATGTTTTCAAGTTAGGTATGCGTCCCAGGATGGAGACTCATTCCAAAATGGAGTGCTTCTTGTTCAGGCAGGAGTTCCCACCTGCTTCACCTTGGAGAGGACACAGTAAATCAATAGTAAAACACGTTCTAGAACATAGCCTCCCTCCTCCAGCAGGTGCCATATCCCGGACTTGGCCACTGCCCTGAATTCCCTCTTCCGCCAGGTTTAGTCTGTCAGTATTCAAATACATCCCTGCTTTTTCTTGTGCTACCCTGTATGACAGGGCCAGGGAGCCTGGAAACCACACCCTTGCCAGCTGGTTTCCAGGTAAGTCCTACCAAAAGGAGACACTGGTGGGAGAGTAGCTGGCCAAGAAGCTAATCAGTTGCTGTCTCCAAAGTAGCCACTGCAGGCCACCACCATTGATGGCAAGTCTCAGCAGTTTGGGCGACACTGGAAGTGGCGGGAGTGGGAGCTGGTGCCCCCAGCTGCTCAGCAGTCAGTGTGGGTGTGGAGGCACAGGGCCAGCTTGCGGCAGCTCTTTGACCTCAAGATCTTCTTTGCATACTTCCCCCTTGGTTTTTATAGACTTGTAGCACATTCCCTGTAATGAATCAATTCCCCTCTTCTTGAACTATCTAGAACACCCCAAGCCAGCCTTTATGCTGTCACTAAAATGTTCTTCCTACTCATCACCTCATTTGGACCACATTGCTCTCCATTGCATATGACTGAGGCCAGTCCCTGAGGGGGCAGTCAGTGTCCCTTCCACTTACTGGATTTATTATAGATTTTCTGACTTTTTATGTCTCTCTGCTCCCATCTTGACCTTAATACTCTTTTTCCCTGATATGCTTTAAGAGACAGTAGCTCCAGGAGGTGGGTTTCCCGTTTCCGGCCCTGGGGCAAATTTTGTATAAATTCAGTGAGACCGAATTAAGGCAAGGGCAAGCCGTTGAGAATTAAAGGATTTATTCTCACAGCTAAGTCTCTCCTCTCTCCCACCAGTGGGGCTACCCTCTCCCGCGGTTCTGCAGCTCTCTCTGGCCGTACTCCCCAGCCAGCCACTCCCGGCTTCCTCTCCACCCTGCCCTGGCATGGCAATCCCAGTGACTGACCAGATGCTCTGTCCTGGGTAAAACATCCCATAGATGGGCAAACAGGATACAATGGACACTATTAAGGCCAGGTGGGAATCCTGGTCAGAAAGTTCCATTTTCCCCACAGAGATTTTTCCAGCTTTTACTTTGACTCATAGTTCCTTCAATGTAGGATGACTGCTATATAGTAAGATGACCAAATATATATATTCCAGGTATACTCGGTCTTCATCCACAGCTCCTGAAGACACTGAAGAATTATGCTGTGTTATGTCATGTTGATGAGAGACTTTTAGAGCCCCACCCAAGGGCGGGGCTGGAGGTTGACTCAGCCAATGGCCATGACTTCGCAATGAAGCCCTCACAAACCCCCTGGGAAGAGCTTGTTGTACTCTTGGATCCTTCTCTGTTGGAGAGAACTTCTACACTTGGGGAACCAGAGCACTCCCATATGTAGCAGGCCAGGCCCCAAGCTCCACAAGGATGGAAGCTCCTTTATTTGAGACCCTATGTATCTATTCATCTGGCTATTTAACTTGTACCCTTTATGGGATCGTGTTTCCCTGAATTCTGTGAGCCTCTCTAGCAAATTAATCAAACCTAAGGGGGAGGTCGTGGCAACCTCCAATCTCTAGCTGGTAGGTTAGAAGCACAGGTAACAGCCTGGGGCTTGTGACCAGTGTCTGGAATGGGGCATGGAGGGCAGTCTTATCGGATGGAGCCCTTAACCTGGGGAGTCTGGTGCTGTCTCTGGGCAGATAGCATCAGAATTGAGTTGAGTTCTTAGCCACCCTCCTGCTGTTTGAGAATTACTTGGTGTTATATGTGAGAAGACTCCCCACCTCCCTCTTCCCCAACACATGCATACTGGAAATCAGGTCTGGGAACCCGAAATAAGTTCTACTATTACTGCTGTGTACACTGTTACTGCAGTGTATAATACTATTATTGTTGTTGTATGTGAAAGAACACATCCCAATGACCTTTACAAAATCCAAGCATCCTTTTCAAAAAGTAACTTTATTAATTCCTAAATAGAAATATGGGCAAACAGTATGAACAAGCACTTCATAAAAGGAAAACAGATTCCCACAAAACATAAGCAAAGGATGTTTAATCACATTACCCGTCAAAGAAAAAATAATTTCCCAGTTTCCCTCGTGATATTATTAAGATTGAAAAGAATAATAATTCAAAGTGTTGACACTGGGGTATGAATTACTGTTCAGTGTCTGGAGGACAATTAGAAAAATATGTATAAGGAGACTTAGTATACAGTCATACTTCTAAGAATTGTTCTTAAAGAAGTCATCACAGGTGTGTCCAAAGACATAGGTATGAACTTGTTTAATACAGTTCTATTTTAAATTGTGAAAAATTACAAACTGCCAAAATGACTCACAGTGGGACAAGGTTTTAAGTAACCTATGGGACATCCATGCAGTGGCTTACCCTGGGTGGCAGGTCACCATGCAGTTAAGAAGAGGTGTCTCTTGAGCAAGTTAATCTCACCATTAATGCCCGCAGTGTCCTGGCTCTGAAGGCATGGTGGTGGAAATAATAGCTCTTAGTTCATAAGACTGTTGCTGGGATTAAATTAAGCAGGCACATAAACTGTGCTCAACACATGGTAGATACTCAAAAAACACTATTTAAAGGTAAAAGTAATAATGTGGCAGGTATTAAAAATAATGAGTAGAACTTTACACACGTATATATTTCCCATAAGGTTAAGTGAAATAGCCAAAGATAGGTATAATGTTCAGTTTTTATAAATCCATATATACAAATAAGTGTCTATATACATATGCAAGGGAAATGGTCTTGAAGAATTGCTCATTAAGTGTTCACTGTGGTTACTCCCAGTTAATAAAATTACAGGTGTGGTAGGTAAAATAATGCCTCCCTAATATGTCCACATACGAATCCCTGGAACCTGTGGCTATGTCACCTGGTAAAAGATAATTAAGGTTGCAGGTGGAATTAAGGTTTCTAATCAGTAGACCTTGAGACAGGAAAGTATCCTAGATTATCCAGGTGGCCCAATATAATCACAGGGGTCCTTATAAGTGAAAGGGGGAGGCAGGAGAGTCTGTGTCACAGGGAGAGCTTTAAAGATACAACACTGCTGGCTTTAAAGGTGGAGGAAGGGGGTTATGGGCCAAGGAATGTAGGTGGCCACTAGAAAGTAGG